CAGTCCTCTCCCTCGCTCCCCCTCTCTCTCTCTTTCTCGTCCTCTCCCTCTCTCTGTCTCTCTCGCCCTCTCTCTCTCTCTCTCTCTCTTTCTCCACTCCAGATCTTCCTCCTTCTCCTCTCCTGCCCGTCGCTATTCCCTTCCGCTCACCCGCCTCCCCCTTCCCGTGCTGCCGCTCCGCCCGTGGCCATTCTCCATGCCCTCGTCCTGGCGCGGCACAGAAAGGGCGCCGCTTGCAACGTGCAGCGGCAATCCCAAAGCGAGCGCAGGCGAGGCGTTGCCCGCCCAGCGAACAGGAGCAGGCCGGCCACAACTGGGGGAGCTGTGGTCCTTACCCCCCTGGGGGACCCAGCGATTTCGACACCCCCCTCGAGGGATCGTCGATGCGATGGGTTCCCCCATGGGGGGTAAGGACCACAGCTCCCCCAGTTGTGGCCGGTCGGCCAGAGCGAGCGCAGGCGAGGTGTGGCCCGCCTGGCGAGCAGGAGGCCTCCGCGCGGCACGCAGCAGAGCGGAACGAGCCGGCGAACGGTTCTTCCCCCAGACCGTGCTTGCGCTCACGGGCTCTTGCTTGTGGCGTGAGGCGCTGGGCGTGGCGCTCGGCCTGGCGGACATGTGATCGCCGTCGCCTCCCCGTCGCTGCCCCGTCGCCGCCCGTCGTCTGGGCCTGGGGGTCGACCGTCGTCGGGGGCTGCATTGCTTCGCATTGCTATGCCGTGCTTTGTCGTACGTTGCACTGCATTGCATGGCTCTGCACTGTTTTGCGCTGCTCTGCGCTGCTGTGCCGTGCGTGGCATTGCTATGCCGTGCGTTGCGTGGTTCTGCATTGCTTTGCACTGCTTTGTGTTGCCTGCATTGCCTTGCACGGCTCGGCATCGCTGTGCATTACTTGCGTTGGATTGCATTGCACTGCGCTGCAATCGCAATGTACTGTATTCGCCTTGCATCACACTGCTTGGCATTTCTTTATTTTGCTTTGCAATGTTCTTCTGTGCTTAGGACTGATTAGCATTTCCTTGCGTTGCCTGGCATTGCTCTGCATTGCTTTGCAGTGCGTTGCCTCGTCTGGACAGCATTGTCTCTACATCTGGGCTCTGCTTTGCTTTTCATCCGTCGCCACCTCGTCGCCGACCGTCGTCTGCGCCTGCATTTCTTCGCTTTGCTTTGCATTGCTATGTCGTGCTATGCCATACGTCTCATTTCACTGCATTGCGTTACATTGCTTTGCATCGTTTTGTGTTGGTTTGTATTGCCTTTCATCGCTTTGCATCGCGGTGCATTGCTTGCACTGCGTTGCATTGAATTGCATTGCATTGCATTGCATTGTACTGTCAACCCGCAGAGTAAGGATGGGCAACCTTCCCAAGGGTACTCTTGCATCCTTGCCTCCTCGGTCCATCATTGGCCGCATTCGTTTGCCGCGCCCCGCTCGCAGAGTGTCAAGATGGCCTTCCAAGGCCCTTGCATCCTTATTGTGCACCTCATCCTTGTGATACGGGTTGACTGTATTTCATTGCGTTGCATTTGCATTGCGTTGCATGGCATTGCGTGACAACCGCACTGCATTGCAGTGGAGCTGTATTGCATTGCGTTGCTCGGCATTTCGTTGCGTTGCTTGCGTTGATACGCTGTGCCTTGCATTGCTTGGTATTGCCTTGCATTTCTTTGGACTGCTTTGCATTACCATTATTTAATCGCTTCGATCATTCCGCCGGCCCTGGAACGCTATTGTGGGCCTCTTGGGGCCGTCATGGGGGCCTCTTCGGGGCTTCTTGGGAGCGTCTTGGGGCTCCTTGGCGGCGTCGGGCTCCCCTGGGGCCTCTTAGGGGGCTCTTGGGGGCCCCTTGGGGCGGGAGGAGGGGTAGTCGATTGCAGCCACCCCCTCGGAGGCCACGATCCTCGTGAGGGGGCGCGAAAAATAGCCTCCCCCCTTGGGGATCGCCCGGGACCTGGCCGGGACCCGGCCGGGGATCAGCCGGGGTATTTTTCGTCCGGGGGCCCCCAGGGGCCGCCCCGCGCGCGCGAACTAGACATATTGTTAAGTAGTTACCGGAGCTTAGCACGCCTCTGGCCCGTTGGGCCGGCGAATTCCCCAAACGGTGCTTGCACTTATGACTTCTTACTTCTGTGCCAGAGCATTTACCCGTGTCTTCGGTTTGGCGGCTATGTGGCCGCCGGTGCCGCCCCGTCGCGGCCTCGTTGCCGCCCGTCGTCTGGGTCGGGTCTTCGGCTTGGTGGCTATGTCGTCGCCGTCGCTGCCCCGTCGCCGCCCCGTCGCCGCCTCGTCGCCGCCCGTCGCTTCCATTGATTTGTGCCACATCGATTGTATATTGCACCACGTAGATGTCAGAGCATATATGCATAGGTTGCAGAACCACGTTTGTTGCGAGCTATATTGCACAACATGTTTTGATCCACCTTGTTTGCTTCACATCGATAGAGGATCTCCCCCAATTTAACGGGGCCCCTTTCGGTATTGCAATTTGCAAATGATTCTGTCCCATCGCCCATCCTGAATATTTTCATCCCAGGGGGGCCAGTATCGCCCCCCCCCCCCCCCTTATCTTCTGCAAACGATATGATGCGCGCGCTCTCGTTTCTCAGGCATCATCAGGTCCCCCCCCAAGAAACCCTTCCAACACGTGGAACGAAGTGCGCACGCGTGCGTCGTCGCGCGCGCATGCCGAAATCTTTCAAAAGCTTTAGGTTTCGTAAGGATTTCAAAATCGAGCGCCCCGAAACATATTAAACCACATGCTTTCGCAACAAAGACTTTCAACAAAAACGTGCGCTTGGGATCTTCGGACTTACAGGAAAGATCCTAGGATTTTCAACCTGCTCATAACATGCTACCAAAGCGGGCCTCTCGCGCGCGCATTTCGGAATCGCTCGGATGCTCTTGCGCGCGTTATGTCGTAAACATCCTTTTGCACATGCCAATTGCTCACGCGCGCGTCGTCGCGCGCGCATGCCGGAAATTCTTCAAAAACCTTGCGTTTCGTAGTGATTGCAAAACCGAGTTTCCCGAACATATAGAAAACATATGGTTTTTCAATGCCAGTTTTCACCGACGTTGAGACCGACTTCGGCTGACACTGGTGTCAGCAACATCAGGCACCCCGCAGGCGGCCCGCGCGAGCTGGCACCTCCCGAAGGCATCTCCCCCGGCGTCTGGGATTTCTGGCACAGACAAAAAGGAAAGGAGAGGACGATGAGCATAAGGGGGCGAACGTAGCGTTGAAGCAGGACCACGACGTCGACACGACCGTCCAGGAGGGCGCGGCCCTCACAAGGAGGATGGCGGCAAAGACGAAAAGGAGGCGGGCAAGGCAAAACTAAGCCCCACCGCGGCGGCAGCCGCCTCAGGAAGGGTAACCACGCCGAGAAACACTGGACGTCCAAGGACGCGAACTGGAAGTCCTACCTTCAGACCCCCATCATGCTCGCGCTCCAGGATACGCAGCAGCTGAGGCTGGTCAACAGCGCCGTGCTGGAATCGTTCACCATGCCAGTGGAGCACCCTTGTTGCAGGGGCTGCAGAAGGTGATCGACGAATACACAAGAGCCGTGGCCACGGCAAGGGACGAGGACGCGTAGGCGCTCCGGCTCTTGGGAGGGCCCGCGGCGAAACTCGCAGTCACGGTCTCTCAAGGCCCTGATGACATGCGACATCGGGGTCTGGAGATACAGGGCTATCTCGCGAAGGTGCAGCCCCCGGTCGGCGACGCCATGGCGACCAGCCATCCAAGCCGTGAAGGAGGTGGAGCCGTGCTTCGACGCTTCTGTGAGGAAGCTCTCGCTGGCCGCGTCCCAGTGGCCCATGCGCGGGGCCGTGATGAGCGCGTTCATGGCCGAGGGAGTGGCGACCCGCCACACGGTGCCGACCCTTCCGTGCTGGCTCGAGAACGAGGCGGCGTCCTGGTTGGAGTGCTTCCGCTGGCGAGTGAGGGCTGCGCAGCTCGTCCAGTAGTCTTCGTGCGCGGCCAGCCGATGGAATTTACGATAGGGCAAAATGCAGGGGTGAGTCTGTCTTCATCGTGGGGCGTCGGACTGATCCCGATGGGTGCACAGTAGACTCCATATACTAGGCGTAGATGCAGTGCGTGTAATATCCAATTCGTAGCCGACTGGTTTTTCATTCCGTCACTGGTTTTTCATTCCGTCACGTTTGTTGCCAAACCAGCACCAGTGAGCCAGCGAGCCTGCCTTGCGACGAAGTGCTAAGTTTTGCAACGGTTCCTAGACGTTGCGTTTCCGCGCTGCTCAGTTTCTGGCAGCGATCCTCAAGCAATGGGTTTCAGTTAATCTCGTTGTTGGCAATGCGGTTTCGGAGTGCCCAACCTTATTTTTTCATTCGTTTTTGTCCGCCCGCGAGCCCACGCTGGCTAAGCCAACGCCGCGCGTGCACAGCCGAATGCATGTGGATGGGCGCGTTGTGCGCCAGCGACACGTTTAGTGTCACCTTGCATATTGCCTCTGTTTTGTGCACTGTTGGACAAGTAGCTTCGAAGTCGATGAGCGTGCGAGCTCTTCCGCTTTCTCATGTTTGGACTGTTGGACTGATTGTTCGTCTTTGGCCGATTTGGCGATTTGGCCGATTGGCCGATTGGGGCGTCGTGGCGAAAGCGTGTTGGACTGTTTGTTTGGTTTGGCCGATGGGGGCCACGCTGTCTCAATGCAGTGCCGTGGCCCGCCGCTTCTTGCAGGGGCGAACGCCTTTCTCGCTGTTCTCTCCGCTTTCCTCTCCTCCCCGTCTCTTTGCCTCCTTCCTTTCCTCCCCCTTATGTTTTTTTTTTTTTTTTTTTTTTTTTTGCATTTACATCTTGTAACATATCTGCAGTTCTGGCCTGGCCAGGGTTTTCCAAGAGCATGCGCGCGCGTGACAGCCGTTTTAGCGACTACGTTGCCCCATGCTCCCCTTCAGTTTCCTTGTTGCAGCCTCGTCATCATTATGGTATCGTTCCGTGTTGCTGCGGAAGGCAAGGTTTTTCGCGCACGGGCTCGCCTATTGGTGGTTGGTCTTTGCGTTGTTCCAGGCTTGCGAAGTGCATTGCGGTGTCACCATCGCTCGTCGCAGGGAGTTGCGATAGTTCCGCGGGGAAAAATATCAGATATTGCACAACGTCGGTCGCACCACATATTTCCCCCAGTACATATTGTTCCACGTGTGCACGCACTCGATATATTTATATATATATATATATACATCTATGTATGACTGGTTGTGCCGATATACATGTCTACATACAAACACATGTATATCTATGTATAAACATGTGTATGTATATCAAAAACATGCATGTGTATCTATGTATGTCATTGCGCACACCGTTGGTTGCATAACCTAGAGTTCACCACATGTGGTGTACGCCGCGTGTGAAACCACATGTATATTACCCCACGTACATTCGGAAACAACGCATTGCATGGGGTCCACGCCAGCTGGCAGACCGTTGAAAACGAGAGGCGCTTTCAAAACACGCCCGGTCATCACACTATGTGTCCAGCACGTCGTAAGGAGGCTTGGCAAGTATGACGGGTGCCCAGTAAGTGCAACGCACGTCGGCCATGACAAAAGGTTCATAAACAAAGGGCTCCAAAAAGGACCCGATAGAGTGCACCCCCCCAGGGACCCCATGGGCGCCCCAAGCCTTCTCAAATCCGCCCCAAAGATTTCAATCCGTGGCCCGTCGCTCTCTCCGCGGCTGGCCAGGGGCAACTACCGCAGCATATTACCCTCGAGTCCAGCTGGAAGGGATGGGGTACGGCGGGGGTGTAAGGGAGGTGCAATCCCTTCTTCGAGTGGGAAGAGCTGGCACGCTAAATCACCTGCGGTAGGAGGGCAGCATCTGGTCAGCAGTCCAGGCGTGCGGCAGGACTATGTCAAGGGCTTGATGGATTCCTGTGCGCGGCGGCTCGAGCGATACGACCGCCTCACTCTCGAGTAGGCGCGCGGACACGCCTTGGCGCTCTTCGGCCAGGACACAAGGGCCCTTCCAGCAAAGCAGCTGGCAAAAGTCCGAGAGTCGTCGGGCGGTGCTGGTGATGCAGATGGCACGCGGTTGTGGCGACTTGCTTGGCGCGGTTCGAGGAGACGCCCAAAGTTGTGCGGAGGTTCACATAGGCAAGGCGGCCGCCCAGCCTCACTCAGGGCTGTCGTCGTTCACGGCATGGGAGACTTGCTCACGAAGGAACGCCAGCGATCTGACCGGGAACACCACTGACGAGCCTGACAGGAATCAAGCACAGCGAGCCCTCCAGCGGGGTCGTGAAGCGACACGCCGTCGTGCCCACTCTCCTCCCCTCCCTTCCTTCTGCGCCTGCCGCTGCTGCCCTGCCCCTCCCCGCTGGATCCCCCCTCCCCGTGCCTCGCGAAGGCGGCGAGATCACAGACTTCTACGAGCTGTGCGATGAGAAGCTCGGGGAGGGATCCTTCGGCAGGGCTCGAGCTAAACGGTGTTTTGGCAATTTCGTGGACCGTTTTCGTTTTGACGTCGTTTTGCAGCAAATGTGGAAGTTAAAACTAGGGATGACGAAAACAAAACGAAAACGGAAACACTGTTTAACTCGAGCCCTGTCCTTCGGTTCGGTCTGCAGGGGCAGGCACCGGCGAACGGGCGCCGAGCGCGCCGTGAAGAGGACCGCCAAGGCCAGGGGGAAGGCCGCCACCTGCTGGCACCGGGAGGCCGCGATCATGGAGAAGCTCGAGCACCCGAACATTGTCAGGCTGCACGAGACGTTCGAGGACGACGGCAGCTTCTACCTCGTCATGGATCTGTGCGAGGTCCGCTCCGAGGGGCTGCGCGCTTTCGCTCCTGTTGCTACCCTGATCCCGCCCTCGCAACCCCTGGAAGAGGGGCTCTTCTCCATCCTCCTTATCTTCGTTCGTCCCCTTCTGGAGGAGGAGGAGGAGCAAGGACGGCGCAGAAGAGGGGATACTGGGAACGCATTGGACCCAACAGTCCTTCTCCCCCTCCCTCTCCCCCTCCTGCTCCTTTTTCTTTTCGCTCTCGAAGCAAGGGCGGGGAGCTGTACGAGCGGCTTCTTGACGCTGAGAATTTTGTCGAGGACGAAGCCGCTGGCCTGATGCAGCAGATATTCCGTGCGATTTGCTACATGCACGGGAGACATGTTTGTCATCGAGACTTGAAGACTCAGAATTTCCTCTTCCTGGACAGAGGCCCGATATCGCAGAATGTAGTCAAGGTCATCGACTTCGGCATCTCCTGTCAGTTCGAGCCGGGCGAGGTGCTGACCACGAAAGTGGGCACGCCTTACTTCGTTGCCCCGGAGGTGCTCAACGGCATGTATGGCCATCTGAGTGACTTGTGGAGCTGTGGTGTCATCCCAGAGGCCTGCGCCCCGCCCCGCCGGCATCGCGAGAGCATTGCATCTGCGGCGACTGGCCAGGGTTGCCTAAGTCGGGGCAGCGGAGGCGGACAAAGTGAAGGAGGTGGATGGGGAGGCGGAGGCGGAGGCGGAGAAGAGGGACGGGGCTGAGGAGGAGGATGAAGAGGAGGAGGAGGAGGAGGAGGAGGAGGAGGAGGAGGAGGAGGAGGAGGAGGAGGAGGAGGAAGAGGAGTTGGACCTGATTTCGCCGGCGTGCGATTTCGTGTGTTTGCGAGTCGGCGGGTGAGAGTCGCAGAGTCTGGCCCGGACGGGACGGCTGACACAGATGGCGACGTCGACGTGGACGGCGACGCGGGCAGCGAGGTGGACGTGACTCTACCGCCTCTTCGCTCCGCGATCCTCCTCCTTCATCCTTCTCCTTCCCAGGGGAGGGGGATGGTGCCTCACCTTCGACGTCGTGTTGTCTTCGGCGGCTTGGCGCATGCCGCAGCTCTGTTCTCTGGACGCCCGAAATGGGCACGGAAAGAATGGGTACTATGCCCAACAGCAGGTCCTGTTCATTTTGAACAAGATCCGCTGTCCACGCCGCCGCGGCCTGTGTCCATTCGAGACAGAAGGCCGCCTGCCCAACAGCGGCCGCTGTTGGTTTGGGACAACATTTGTTGTTGGGCATCGTACCCATTCTTTCCGTGCCCATTTCGGGCGTCCAAATTTTCGGCTGGTTGAGACAAGCAGGCACCGGGGCAGGAGGAGGCGGAGGAGGAGCGATCAGCGCCAGCACGGCTCGATTGCCAGCCCAAGTGCGTGAAGCGCGGACGCAGCAGCGCTTAACAGTACCTTCCTAGGCCCTAGCCGCTCTCGGCAGCAACGTTCGAGCGGCTGATCGGTGACGTCCCGGTGGGGCGCACGAGAGCGGAATGACGGAGGAGGGTGTTTCGGGGGCGGAAAAGAGGGGGGTGATGACTAGGGGGGGTGGATATCATGGCGCCGGCCATGATATCTCCGCAGATTTCATGGCGCCTCTTCTTATTTCATTACGTCCCAGGCCCCCCCGCTGGGCCGCGCACATGCCGCTGGTCATGATTTGCACCCCCCCCTCTTGGACACCCCCCTCTTGGCCGCTCCCGAGTGTTATCTAGGACGTTGCTCATCGCAGGCCTGCCAAGCTTCAGCTGCGCCCGTGGGGCAGATCACGGCGCGCCCTCATGGTGGGTGCGGGGGCACGCATGCGGTTCAGGCTCTGCCATGTTTGCTGCTCTACCTCTACTGCTGTAAGGAAGGCGAGGCACGTTTGACGACGTATGGTTTGGGCTCGCTGAACTTCTCTCGTGTGGGCGGGCCGTGGACCTCCGCCAAAGTTGTACACAATACTATCCTAATAAGTTTGGCAAGACGGACGTCTTCCGCCTAAGTTGATCGTTTGCATTCGTATGTTAGGTTGTTGGTTGCCATGGCCGTGTTGCCACGACGATGCATTTTCTTGAGCCATAATAGGTGCAGTTCCTTTCAGTTCTACACTGCAGGCGATCTTGTTGCCACGACGCCTGCTATGGAAAAACCCTGACACGGGATGTCAGAATCTGGGCGCACTGCCACTGTAGAACCGCTCCCTTTGCCACAGTCGGCGCGGCAACTCCGCCAACGTTGGTCTTCCTTTGAAGCGTACCTGCAAATTCGCTGCGTAGTTCTCCAAACCACAATCGGTGCGGGCAAAACTTCTGTCTATATCCACTGCAATATGGAGTTTCGGGCTCCCTTCCCAAGAAACCCGAGGCGCACTGGATATGGATACATTTGCCCCCTAGAGGCTCGATGATTATCCATATCCAGTGCGCCTCGGCCTTATGGCGCCGCTTCCAGAAAAGTCCCAAAGGCACTGGATATGGACATGAATCTTGTCCGCAATCGGGACTCCCTCAACGGAGGCGGGGGCGCCGTGCAGCAGATCTGCCTGGATGACCCTCACACCACCTGGCATCGTTGAGGGTTGCCTCCAGCCACCAACCAGGCCTTCCGCAAGGGAGCATGCCCTGCGGGCAATACTTATGTCTATATCCACTGCAGTATGGAGTTTCGGGCTCCCTTCCCAAGAAACCGAGCGCACTGGATATAGATAAATTTGCCCCCTAGAGGCTCGATGATTATCCATATCCAGTGCGCCTCGGCCTTATGGCGCCGCTTCCAAAAAAGTCCCAAAGGCACTGGATATGGACATGAATCTTGTCCGCAATCGGGACTCCCTCAACGGATGCAGCAGATCTGCCTGGATGACCCTCACACCACCTGGCATCGTTGAGGGTTGCCTCCAGCCACCAACCATTGCCCTCCTGGACGGAGGTCCGAGTCCTCTTGGCAGACCCTCAACGGATGCAGATCTGCCTGGATGACCCTCACACACCTGGCATCAGTCCCTCCAGCCTTCCAGGCCTTCCGCCCTGTATGCCTCCCACTAGTAAAACGACGCGAAGATCGGGACAAATCGGATCGGGATAACTCGAAATCTCTGAGAATCGGCGGGTTTGGAGGAGGTATTGGGCGCCGCGGCCGCTCCAGAGCGTTCCAGAACGCTCTGAGAGCGCTCCGGAACGCTCTGGAGCGATTTATCCCGATCCTAGCCCTGTTTTACTAGTCAAGCATCTGAGCACGCCCGCATAATGTCGTGTTTTTCCTGGACGTTGTCGTAGCTGTCGAAAGTCTTGTTGGTCATGTTATTGATCTCCTTCTCGGTGGCGGCCTCCGCCTCCGGACGCTTGGCCTTGTGGGTGTCGAGCTTGACTCCGCGATACACCATAGCGAAACTTGAGCGTGCCCACGTCGTCGTCCACGACCGTCACCTGAGCTGCAAGTGCCGAGCCAGCTTCATCTTGCTCATCGACTCCGCCCTCAACCGTGGAAGGCGGCCCTTGGATGTCTTCCTCGTCGACGCTGAACTTCTCGAGCATGAGGTCCGCAATCGTTCTGTCATCGGAGTGGGTGGGAGGCGGAGGAGGAGGAGGAGGAGGAGGAGGAGGAGGAGGAGGAGGAGGAGGAGGAGGAGGAGGAGGAGGAGGAGAGAGGCGGAGGAGGAGGTGGAGGAGGAGGAGGAGGAGGATGAGGATGAGGGACGAGGAGGAGGAGGAGGAGGAGGAGGAGGAGGAGGAGGAGGCGGAGGAGAAAGAGGAGGAGGATGAGGAGGAGGGGGAGGAGGCGGAGGAGGCGGATGCGGAGGCGGCGGAGGAGGAGGAGGAGGAGGAGGCGGAGGAGGCAGAGGCGGAGGCGGAGGAGGAGGAGGAGGAGGAGGAGGAGGAGGAGGAGGAGGAGGAGGAGGAGGAGGCGGAAGAGGAGGATGAGGAGGCGGAGGAGAAGGAGGAGGAGGTGGAGGAGGCGGAGGAGGAGGCCGAGGAGGTGGAGGAGGAGGCCTCCTCCATCCGGGCCCGTCGGTGCAGGAGCCCGCGCGTCGACGATCTCTGCCTGCGCCTGCTCGGGGGCGTCCGTGCGCGCGCACCGCCTCAAAGCGCAACCGGGCCCCTCCTCGTGCAGCGCGCCCCCTGCAGTCTGAACTCCTGGGGCGGCGGGCCTGCGTCGTGCTGCCCCGGCAAGCCGGGCAGGTACTGTCCAAGCCTGTCGTGTGCTTCTTTCTTTCCACACGTCTTGCAGCATGTAACCCCGGGTGGCACTGGCTCCTCCTGCTCGGACGCCTCCTGCTCGCACGGCAGGAGAGAATGCCACTCCACGTTGGGCTGCGCCGCGTTTTGTTGTCGTCGTCGTCGTCGTCGTCGTCGTCGTCGTTGTTGTTGTTGTTGTTGTTGTTGTTGTTTTTGCTGTTGTTGTTGTTGTTGTTGTTGTTATTGTTGTTGTTGTGGTTGTTGTTGTTGTTGTTTGTGTTGTGGGTGTTGTGGTTGTTGTTGTTGTTGTTGTTGTTGTTGTTTGTTGTTGTTGTTGTTGTTGTTGTTGTTGTTGTTGTTGTTGTTGTTGAACATTATTACTTCTAAAGAATAATTATTGTTGGGGCCCCTGGTGCACGACCCCCCCGCCGCGCCTAGGCCGCAGCCTCATTTTCATCATTTTCGTGAGGAAGTCTCAGGCAAAACGGGGGAGTCCGGATCCGGTTGTGTTGTTACGATCGGTTTTCCCTTGCAAAAAATAAGCTAAAGTGGACATTTCTTGTTCTAACATAACCAAACTTCAAGAATCCCTTGCAAAAAATAAGGTAAAGTGGACATTCGCGCGCGCAAGACGAAATCCTTCCAAAACCTTAGTTTCGTAGCGATTTTAACATAAAAACATCAAAAAACCAATGGTTTTTCAACAAAAAATTGTCAAAATTTCATCCCGCGCGCTCTTGCGGATTCGTAGGAAACCCAACACTTTTTAATCATTTCTGTCAAACGGGCTTTTGCGAGCAACTTTTTCGAACTTCTGCAACAACGGTTGCGCACCTGCCAGGGCCATCATCCCTGTCAAATAATACCATGCGGGACACATTCGTTTTTTCTTCGCGCGCGCACGCCGAAATCTTCAAAAACCATTGGGTTTCTTAGGAATTTTAGCACCGCGCAACATAAAATCATACGAATCGCACCGTAGGTCCTCGACGTCCATAAAAAGTCGTATACTAAGCTAGCGTCCAGAAAATGTTACCACAACAAGTCACTGTACCCATGCGCCAGTGTAGTAGCCACGGTCGTCCGCAGGCCACGAAGTGAAGTGTCCGAACGTCATAGGGCGGGAAGCTGGGTGTGGGTGGTGGCGAAGAGTCGTTTGGAAATGTGGTAGAGCTTGAACCGGCCCCCCCACAAAGTGGGGGTATTGGCGGGCGTCGTATGAAAACCCTGGCACTGGTGAGAACGGAGTGTCCCACGTGCTAGTAATTGTTGTTGTTGTTGTTGTTGTTGTTGTTGTTGTTGTTGTTGTTTGTGTTGTTGTTGATGATGTGATCCCAGTTGGGAAACCAAGGAGAGGACGAACTGTTCCATCCTTAAGCTCGTGTAGAAATGCAAACGCCATGACCCCCAAGGCCACCCAGTTCGCCTTTCGGCTCGAACTTGGCCATCGCCGTTGCCATGGGAGTGCGGCCCTTCAACGAGGAATGCCAGGCATCCAAAAGGGGGGCAACTCCAAGTTGCTGTTGTGGCCGTTCCTCAAGGTGTAGGGTGCCATGCGATCGTCGT